TAAGCAAAACTTAGCAGTATATGTTAAAGTTCATCGAGAAAAGGAAAATTGTGTTAGGAAGCTTATTGGACGATTAAATTAATGTGTATAGTAGGTAAATATGGCTGTGTGTGATATATATCATACGTATGGTGATCAGTAAAAAATACGTTATGTATAAATTGGTAGAATAGTAATTCTAAATACAAATATTCTCGAAATGATAAAATTTCAGAACATATGCATATATATTAATTATAATTATTATTTTGATCTATTCATTGATTTGATATTTTTCCAAATAAATTATTTTTACCCTAGTGATAATATACCATAAATGTATAATAGTCAGAGTTTGTTAGTTGCACTCTTTGCCTTTCATGAGGTCTCAGTGACAAGCTTTTTCCTGACAAATTGGATTATTTTTTTGACCTATTTGGTATGCCCACAGTGAATCGACTTTACTCAAATTCAATCACATCGGTATCCTAATCAGCATCTGCATAAGTTATTTTTGTGGTTGACTCAACATCAACTCTACTGGATTAGTGCCCGATGATAAAGCATTAAGCAACATACTCAAATTAACTTACATTAGCAAGCTGACGGAACTTTTCTTATGTTTATAATGCTTGATACAATGAAAATATTCATCAGTTGTATTATTTTTTTTGAAGAAAACTTCTATTGAAAATAGTTGTCAAATATTTCGTTTCATGTTGAATCTGACATTTGTATCTTAAAACCAATAGAAAATTGATAATAATCGATTTGATTTCAGAAAGAAATTCTGAAGAACATCCGAAATATTCCTTGTGTTTTTTTCTCGATAAGAAAAAAAAAAACAGGAAATAATTTATGAATGGAAATATTTTTCCAATCAGAATGAAATCTGTAATATGTACTGTTGTTTTTATTTTTATTTTTATTTTTTTTTATCTTCTCAACATTATGAAATAAATGTTTTCATTGTTTATTAAACATGATTTTTAAATAATGATCTTTATTCGTATAAAATAAATATAGAAATTTATGGATCGCCAAAAAGAAGTTGCTTATGGTGATATTGATGATCAACAATTTCAAGCAAGGCGACCAACACGTATTGATATTGTACGACGACAAGGTGAAAGACAATTAAGAAAAGTAAAATTTATTCCTCATAAATAATTTGAATATTTATATTTATATTAAAATAGATGCGTGAACAAATATCAGCTCGTTTTGCACTTTCATCAAGTCGAAAATCTTTTAACGATATGGTTATTGAAGAGAATATACCTGATATACGGTAAAATTAGTAAAAGAAAAACAACAACAACAATAAACAAAATATTTTATTTCATTATAGAGCACTTCGTGGTATTATAGCTAATTTATATATTGAACCAACACGTCCATTATATCCAAGTCGACGTCGTGCTGAACAAAAGAAAGTAACAAATTTAGCTTTAACAGCTAATCGAGATGTATTTATTTTGGTTAATGTAATTGGTGCTCTGGATTTACCTACACGACGTACTGCTCTTGAAAAGTAGGGAAACCCCAAAAACAAAGAGTTTTAATAAATAATTATTTTTATCATATTTTCAAGAGAACGAACAAGAAATGCTTCAAATAAAGACAAAATAGATATAGAACGATTGGTAAATATTTATTAAACTAATAATGCTTTGTTTTAATCAGAAGTGATTCGATTAATTAAACTTTATGAAGTTATATTTTAAGGTTGAGATGTAACAAATATTTGCATTAAGTAGTTTGCCATCAAAGTTAAAAGTCTCGAATCGAATTAATTTACATTCTATTTAGACTAGTTTTAGAAAGATGAAGAAAACGCCATTGCTTCGATTTCGTAATACACACTAGACACAACTATCTATTTAGAAATATAATTTATTCTGCTATGTTTTGAACAAATTTGAAACGTTTGTACGTAGAGCTTTCTAGTTCCTATTGCTTGAAAAAGAGAATGAGGAATGTAAATCTTATTCGAAAGACAATCAATAAAACAAGTTATATGTTTGTTATACTTAGAATAAACTTGTCCGAAATTAACTTTCAACATATTAAAATCATCAATATCTTGTTTTTTTTTTATCAAAAAGAAAACTTTCATATAATATCTTATTAAATTCAACTAACGCTGAAGCGTTACAGCTTTGGCAGTAGACGATCTTCAGTTGCAATGAATACCTTCGAAATATGGATATTTGATCACAGTTTTTAGTTAAATTTCACGACGCTAATACTGAATATTTTTATGAATTCATCCATTATTTGTTAACATAGAACTTCCAAAACAAAAGGATAAAGTTTCTATTCGAAAATAGTGAAATCAATAAGACAAATCTTTTCACTGGTGATCGATTTTCCTTGAATAACAACTATTTTATAAGATGATAAATATGCTCTAGTTTCTTTTTAGTCATTGATACGACCTTATGTTGAAATTCAATTTCAAAAAAGATCTTATCGAACAAGTATAGCTGATGGACCTAATCCAAGTTGGAATGAAGAACTACGTATTCCTTTCAGGTATTTATTTATTTATTTTAAACTAAAAAATTAAGTCGAACAGAAGCATTATCATAAAGTGATAACCATTTATGTGAACAAATTTCTTGTTGATTAACATATTGACAAAATTTCCATATCCATTCATGTTTTTCATTTGAATCATATTGTTGAATGAGATGTATAGTTAATTGTCGTTGTAAACGATTAAATTCTAATAACCATTGTTGACCATCACGTGTAAATAATGTTGTTTGTTGTTTATCAATTATAATTTTACCCCACATAACAAATTTGAATGCATTAAGAGAATAATTTTTTTTAATATCATACATTGGTATTAAAGAATTCTGTTCAATATAAATTGGTATACGATAAAGACTACTTGTATCTTCTTTAATAAATGTATGAGATTTATGTATAATTGATGTATTAAAATAATTTATCCATTGATTTGTTGAACTTTTTGGTAACCATAAACGTTGAGTTTGACCAGGTTTTGGATCTTGTAAAACTGGTACAACATATATATGTGGACCAAGAAAATATGAATAACTAAATAATGCTTCAATATCATCACATGGTTTCATTAATGTACCATTTTGTCCAAGTGCTACTTTTGTACCTTCACTGTAAAGATAAGGTACAAGTTTATAATGTAAATTAACCCATGATCGGTATATATCAGTTGTTTCATTATCAAATTTCCATGGTAGATGTTCACCACCACCACCATTTTCCATAAATGAACTTAAAGCACCAATGGCTGTCCAACGAAGAAATAATTCTTTTGTACGGCCTAAAGCACCAGCCTTAGGATCAGTTCGATAACCACCAATATCTGAACCAAAACCAACATAACCATGACGACCACTTTGAAGCATATAACGAAGAGCTGTTTTTAATCCATCATACGTACCATCTTCATCACCGACCCAACCCATAAAAACAACATCACGTGGAGAAAAATCAAGATCATTATCAACTGGACGTGACATAATTAAAGCTTCTGGACCAACTAATTGACGTAAAATTTGAAATGAATCATTATAATAAGCTGTACGATAACGTTCCCATGTTACACGAGGATCAAGTACTTCAATTATATATGGATCAGTAGCATCAGCCTATGATAGAAAAAAAAACAATATGAATCAAGTTTTGTGTTCACACATATATTTTTTTTCAATAGTCTATATTTAGATTTTAGATAACATATGGACAAAATCCACGAAAACAAGATATGATGATCTGCGATTTGATTTTGATTCTTTATAAGGATGATTATTTTAAACAAATTCTCATCCCATAAATCTATGGGAAAATATTAACGTTTTCAGCTCACACTTAATTATATTTAATTAATTAAAACGTGATTAGAGAATATATTTTTGAACTTCTCAGAAAACGTCCTAGAATTTCAGAATAGACTTCATATTCTACATTATACTTATGGTAAAATTTTCAGCATGATCAAATTTCAAAAAATTGTCTTCTCAAAATCGCTTTCACAGAGGTCTATTCTAGTCTTAGAACATAACTTTTTGTTTTGCTATTAACTTGCAATATTGAAGAAGGATTTGTATCATTTACGATTGTTTCGTTATTGACTTATTATTCAGTTACAAGACGAGGTTTCTTTTTTCGATATTCATATTCAGTCACATTGTTAATAACGAACACATAAATATGTTTGAAGAAAAACTTTGCATAGAAATTTTATAGTCAGAAAAGTCATCTACAAAAAGTACTATTTAGTTGTCAAAAATATTCTTTGAACTTGCAGGATTTGTAAATGGAAATGCACATAGTGAAAATATCTATCTTCTTTTGTTTTGTTTCATATCATTAAAGCTAGTTTTTCATTAATAACCTGGTAAAATCAAGATCTATAATAATTATGTCGCCAACATATGAAATAGCCCATATACAGTTTTACAAGTTTCTATAGAATAGATTTCTTCACAAAAATTTAAATGTTTACGCTTTAGAAGACAGTTCTGACTGTTGAATATTTATCAAAATGATCTAACTCATTTGTATTAATAAACCAAATAATGTAATTTAAAGATATTTAATATTGAGTTTTCTCATACTTTAAACGCATGAATGGGTCCAACATCATCTATAAGTCGTTCAATTTGACTATGCCACCAATTAACAGCTTCTACATTAAAATAATTTAAAAGTCGTCCTGGTCCATGCCACCATTTAATTGTTTTATTAAATAAATATCCATGATCTTGTGCATATTGATAATTTGGTGAATCAATATTGATCATTGAAGTCATCCATAAGACAATATGAATATTTTTTTTACGAAATCCATCAAGCATATTTCGTATTGTTGGAAATTTTATTGGATCAAATATAAATGTATTAAAATTTGTTGCCCAAGTTGAATCAATATTAACAATACCAAATTGTATATTATGACTTATATAATCGTTATACATATTTTGTATATCTATTTGATTTGTATGAGAATTGTGTAACCAAATCATATGATAATGAGCCCATTCTGCATAGGGTAATGATTCTGATACAACAGTTGAAGGATAAAATAAAAGACTTATTAATATTACTAACATGATAATTTTCAAAATAAAAATCCTATGTGAAGATTTGCAATCGCTTTTAAGTGAAAATTATGATGAGAATAATAACATCTGACTTGTTTTTCTTTTTGTTTTATCATCAAGGCCACCAGATAATGATTTTGATACTAGTTCATTACAACGTTGTCGTGATATACTTTATATAAATATTTTTGATGAACTTCATGTTGATCAACCAAAAACAGATCATGAACGTGATCAAATTATACGAGAACGTATTGCAAGAAATTGGCTTGGATCAATTAAAATTCCATTTAGTAATGTTTATGTTAATGGACGAGTAAGGAAAACAAAAATAAAAATTTTCTTTTTTTTTAATTTTTTGAAATAATTAAAATATTTTTGATTTATTTTAGTTAGAAGGTACTTATCGTTTGGATGTACCAACTCCATTATTAGGTTATTCACGAGATAAAGTATCTGTAACAAAAATGGAAGCAACTAATGTGATATCACCAACTAGTGTACTTCGTATGTTTATTACAATGGAACCACTTTTAGCACCACCAGAAGCAGTTCAACAATCAGTAAGAATTATTTTTTTTTCTGTAAACTAATAGAACATCAAATATGCTTTTTTTCTTGTATCAATAGTTCGATAGTACAGAATCACTTGAATTATTGAATCATGCCCGTTTCTGGGTTTCTGACTTAAATCAAAAATTTCCTAATCGAGATTATAAAGCAACAGTATCAGATATAAATGGTCGAGCAGTATTTATACCGCGTTTTCTTCGTCCATTACCATTACCACCACTTGGTTTAACAGGAACAGATGGAACATCAGCAGCGGCTGCTGGAGTTGGAGTAGATAATCAAATCATATGTGTAAGTATATATTTATTATAAAGAAAATTCAACTATCTTGTTTATTGTATTGAATATATTTTAGCAACAATTGGCTCGTTTTGTTTCATTAATTCCATTTCTTTCTGATACAGTTATTTTTCCAGGACTATGTGATATTTGGGAAACATCTGACGTAAGTCAATCGATAGCATTATTAAAATATTAATCCATCCATGTAATATTGAACCAGACTAGACCAAAGTTACTTTGTTTAGTATCAGTTAAAATATAAGATACCTTGACAAGAGAGCCTGTTGGATTGATCACGCACCCCAATCTGAAATATTTGGTTCCGATGAGCTCTATTCTACACATTTGCCAGATGGATTATCTGAGAAAAATGTAAGGTACACTAATTACCGAATAAAAAAGACTAGAAAAAAAATACTCGTATCTTCGGGGCAGCTACCTTGTATCGATTAGAAAACTTCATTGAAAGTATCAAAGTAAGATTCGAGAGTTTTTGACCTGATGAACTCTACTCTACAAGCTCATGATACGGTCTATCAACTCTTTATCATATTGTCATCATGAAAATAAATTAAGTGTATGACTTAAACTAGAACGATATGTTATAATAAGGTTATTGAACTTAATAGATTTAAGAAAAAAAATATTAATGGGCCCGGTTTGTTCTACAGGCCAGGTCAGATCAAAAAAACAATGGTCTGCTGACATATTCAATGAGTATCAGATTATTTTCTATTGAAAAGAAATTTTTTCTTTGAAAATGAGAAACGAACATTACATAATACAATTTCATATGCTACATGACGATTGGATTCTTGATACTTCAGTATTTTTCTGTTGTAAAGAACAGAAAGTTAGTCGGAAGCCATAAGTTTGGTAAACTCAATATTACCATCGTATTTTATTGTATCATATACAGTTGATAACGACACTGAAAATCAAATATCCAATCGTTTACAATACAATGAAATACGATCGTAATACTGCGCCTTACAAATGGCCAGAACACCAACTAAAACTACCGTACTTATTTGACCTGAGTTTACCTATAATCTGTCTTCAACCGAATTCGTTAGCAGGTTGCGCGGCGAGATATTATGAAAACTACTCAAGCCATCAATATCTATATTCTTAATATATTTTCCATTCGTAATTTCTATTCTGAACAAATCAAAATTTTATTTTAGCAATTTTTACGTACAATGTCTGGTGATGACGAAGAACATGCTGTTTTATTAAATAATTACTTTTTAACATTGAATAAAAATAGTTGGATAGCTATGGGTATGCTAGAAATGCATCGTATTCGAAGAAATAATAAAATCAAATAACTTTTTTTTTGATATTTAGGTGTATCAATTTATAGTGGTCCATGTTGTTTTGTTTTAACAAAAGAACCAGGGCAGCGTTATGCAATTTGTTGGAGTGTAGCTGATGGACGTGATGCATCAACAATTGATACATGGAATCCAATTCGGAGTATATATTTATTAGCAAATCAAGAAAATGTAAGACCTCTTGGAAATATATATAGATACTTAGAGTTGATCCAACGTTTTAGTAAAGTTTAAAAAAAAGTAAAACTAAAGAGATATTTTTAATTTAATTTAATTAATTATTCAAAATAGCAGTCATACTTATTCTTTGCAAAGCTTCATCCTTTCTAACAATATGTCAAACTTTTTTTTCAACTCTTCTTCTGAAGAATTTTTAACTATCTTAGAAACCGCACGAATCGATAATTTTTATTTTGTTTAGTAGATTAAATTATGTTTGATACAATCGTTTAGACAAAAATCACATAATACAAAATCTAGTGAGAACAATGAATGAAGCATTATATCGATACCTTCTTGTGCTAAATAATTGATGCTATCTATATGAGTATAAAGTCGAGCAGTATGATCAAGTAATTTTATACTTTTTTAATACCTGATGACATTCGCTGTTTTCAGAATTCATAGATAATAAGCTTGAGGCAATCTTTTAGTTATATCTACAGTTAGTCACAAGAAGTCTTGCTACCAAGTAAAAAGTGTATAAACTTCAACTATTTTGTTTGATACTTTGACTACCAATACAGTTCGATAAGTTCTAATGCAAATAATTTACTATGAAAGCACTTTTTTTTCACTATTTAAATGAGTTAACCTTCATTTTCTTATTAACAAATAAAACCCCATATGTCTCGAGTGCAGCATAGATACGGTACTGGAATCCAATGTATTCTTAGAGGCGTGGGAAAATCTTCATCGTCTATGATAGTCTTAGCATTGATCTCTTTTCTATTGATGGCTGCGATCGTAAAATTTTCAAGAAAAACTTGATGAGAGTAGCGCATTCATTGAAAAAAGTCTAAGACAAGTAGGTAAAATTAGCGGGAGATATGGGTTACTTTTTGATGATTCTCATCAACTCTTATGTAGAGATCATCCAAAAGTTAATTCATAAACTAGGCAAATTAAAGTTGTATGATACGAAGTTTTTATTGGTGATAGAGGCAATACTGAGTTGTCGAATGAGGGATCTAATGTCATGAGATTTGTTATCTATGTTGAGACGTTTTCGTTTGAAGAAAAAAAACCTATATAAATCTTCTAGCTTTTCCACATGAAGTTCAATCAAGTCATTCCAACCAGAATTCAACATGCTGTATTTTTAGCCAAATTATGAGGCTAAAAGATCAAATTATTGGTTGTTTTTTGTCTAGTAGTGAACATTTTTATGATTACTGTACATTGTGTATAACAACATGAGCATTGGATTTAAAGAATATAGAAGCCAAAGTTTTTGGTTAAAATATACTTCGACGAATAATGGTTGTTAGTGATTCATCTTTACTAATCCCGCTTGTAGTAGTTGTTTCAATGTTCAGGACAAATTCTAACTCGTTCTTACTTTTGTTCATCAACAAGTAGATGAGATATCCAATATGATGTAACTCTATCATAATTAGAATACGAATCACAGTGAATAATCTGTTGTAGTAGTTCAATGTTTACAGATATGAGCTCGGAAATCAGATGATCAGATCGAGAATTATTAATGACATTATCTTTTCCTTTATGAAAATATGTTATCCATCTTGCGCACCTGTTCTATACGATGCCGCATTAGATTCTGATGTTGTTGAAAGTTCCCTGTGAACTGTCTTAGCATGTGTTACAAAAATAGTTAGAATTGGATTTTATCTACAAGAATATTAGGACTAAATTCAAAATAGAGTCACAGCCCTTGCATTGGAGGTCTTTACAGTTAACCTTATGTCCTGATTTCCTAATTTTTTCTTGTTTAATGCAACCACACGTTATGAAAATTGTAGTGATGAAATATATTATTATAAACAAGACATTTGACGTTTTATTCATGTTGTAGAGTCGTTATTGTTCACTAATTTATAACTTTGTCAGCAACCTTGTTAGATCTAAGTATATTAAATCTACTAATTGTTTTTCTTTTTCTTTTTTATGAAAAGATATGGGCTAATATACAAGAACAAGATATACCATCACGAATGAATTTTGACGTAGAGAATTCAAAAAATTGGCGACCATTCTTTAGTCGTTCATTTCCACGTGATACTTTACCTTGGACTTCTGTTCAGGTTTCTTCAAAATTATTTCAATTTTTTCTTTATAAAGAAACAATATTTTATTTTTAGCCAAGCGATTTACATTATGAAAATACACGTACTGAAGATGTTAACATACTTCACGTTCAAATTCAAGATATGTTACGTCGAAAAATGGTTGATTGGCGAGAAGCAAATGTTACATCCTGGCATCATGTATTTCAAAAACGTCTTCAAGATATCATTAAGAGGTTATTTCTTTTTTTCATTTTACAGCAACTTTAATTAGCTAATCTTTTCATTTTAGTAAAGAAATAGAGTTCATAAGGGGATCTATTGCTAATGGAACAGACATTGAAGCCGTATTAGCAGAATTTCGAAACACATATAATGTAAATAAATTTTGAAATAAGATTTTTCTTGTGTTTTCTGAGTTATTATTTGTTTTTGGTTGTAGATTGTTGGATTTGCAATTCAAATGCCGTATACTACTATCCAAGCAATAGTTGATACAGTTTATTCAACAAATATTTACAAACATGCAACAAATGATATTCAATTTGCATTAGCTGTTCATATTCATCCATATCCAAATAATATACTTGCTGTTTGGATTTATATGGCACATTTAACACCAAAATAACTGTTTTAAAATTTGTTTTATCTTTGATTGAATAGAATGCTTTTGTGTATTTATCGAATTTGTTTTCGTTTTGTTTACATTTAATAAAATAAAACTAGAGCAAGATATCGTATGAAATATTGAAAACTTGCTATTGAACAGTTCATTAAGAATACCGTGCCCTCTCCGCTTTCTCATGTTTTTGGCAAAATGGATCATAAAGAAAATTCTGAAAATTTCATTGCAGATAGATCTTAATGAGTAGAGCAGAAGTTTTCATAGACTGAAAAACGTGTGCATGTTGCCAGATTAGTGTTCTTCACGGCTACGACTTTTCGCAACCGAACCTGAATGTTACAGTAAGGTTGTTCAAAATATTATTTTTGTATAAAAAAAAAGTAGACTAATTAATTTCTTCGTAAAAAGCAACAAAATAAAACAGAGACCATTTTAAATTCTACAAGAAGCAAATGAATCAAGTAATTCAGAACCCAGTAGGTGTCTTTCTGCTTGCCAAGTCCGATCGATTTTGCTGAATATATGCTTGTTTGTTGTTGATTAGGCTGAAATGGAATGCCATGTAGGTGTCAAAACTCATAATTTTGAACACCTACATGATTGCTTTTTTTCATCACGAAAATACATGTTTACTTCTGTGATAATTTATTTTTCTCTCCATTTATTCAGTTGCTTTGTCACATGGTTCATCATTATCTGTAGATGATGTTTTTTAATAAAAAAAAGAATCGTCTTTTTGCTCAATAAATCATTCTACTAGGACTCAAATACTGAAAAACTTCGACTATGTCTGACAGCTGCTAAGCAATAGTTGACGTTTTCGAGTATTTCAACCCTATCATCATTGTTTTTGAGTAAATTAGAATTTGTTTTTCCAAAATAATTAGTGCAACGAGAACAAAAAAGTTCTACAGATGAAAAAACCTTTTGAGAACCTTGTATATTTTGCGATTGACTACACATAGAAGTATCTTTCGAAATACGATTCACAAGCAATGTGTCCTTGCTAGTATATAGGGTGTGGGTGTGGGTGTGGGTGTGGGTGTGGGTGTGGAAGTATGGTGTGGGTGTTGGTGTGTGGGTGTGGGTCTTGTTATCACTGATTCAATTCCACCCCCACACCCACCCACGCCCCACACTTAGACACCCACACCCACACCCCCACCCCCACACTTAGACACCCACACCCACACCCACACCCAACCTGGCAAAGACTATACAAAAATGAAATAAATACTGTATATAAGAGTTAAATGTTCGTTTATATAAATTAGTGACATTTTCCAATATATTCTCATAAATTTTTCTCGACGATATTTTCTGAAACCTGAAAAAAGTCTTGTAGAATGCCTATTCGAGTTATTCTTCACAAAATAAAAAGAAAAGAAAATGATTTTGAATTACTAAATCAATTTTAAAAAACTGAATATTGTACTGAATGAAACATTTAGATATATGCTTTCGTGTTCATTCAGATGAGAAGCTGTTGAAAGTAGCGAATATAAAGTAATAATTTGATCAAGAATCAAGGATTTAGATTAATTCTAACAATTCCATGGGTTATCTTACTGATAGAACTTTGAGATAAGATTAAACTATTCGATCTGGATGCTCATTATGGTTTGAAATGCTTCAGAGTAGTTAGTCATGATTTTTTTGATAGATTTCTTTTGTAAGTCGTTGTATAGAACAAGAATAAAGACTATGTGTGATGATTTTTATTTTTTCCACGAAGAATTGTATTTGATGGGAAAAGAAAAAGAAACCAGACATTTTCCCTGATTGATGACTCATCATCATTGAGAAGGTGCGAGAGAATCATGATATAATCGACAGATAGGATGGTTATTTTTTGCATCAAATAACTAAAATGTAATAGTACGGTCATGCAAATTGTAATTGAAAGTAACAGATGTCATCCAGACTTGACTGAACTTATGATCCTGTTCGTGATGATAAAAGAATAGAAGCACAAGAAAAGTGAGATGATTTCATCACCTTACAACATCAGATTGACCGAGATTCATCATTAGTACAATTCAAACGTGAATTTGATACTTATTACTCTAGGTAGAAAAATATTCTTCAATGAGTTAGATATGATCAGAGTATTTGACTTCAATATGACGAAATGTAATCTGCTAGCAGGATGTTACAGTATCAGCCATGTTTGATTTATTGATAGAAATTGTTTTTTTTTCGATCATTTATTCGTGATCTATTGAAAACATTCACTTAATCTCATGGAATCTTTAAACTTCTAGTTAGATTACTCGATTTTTCTTCAAGTCATAGTGATTAACGAGTTGAATTCCACCGATGAATGGACATGAAAAAATTATCGAATATTTAGCTTGGGACACAAATGTCTCCTTCAAATATCAATCCGTATTGATTTTGAATGTGTCTAC